ATGATATATATATATAACCTATATATAGGATATATAGTATGAATAGTATAATTGTAATGTAACGATTTATTGAGTGATATATTATGTATATTAATGGATTAGTCGTATAATATGTACTATATTGGTTATTTTTTTTAATACGGAAGAGTAATATGAGGTAAGATATATATATATTTTTATAATATATATAACTTTATATATATGTATATGTTTATAATGATATATATTTAATAGTATTCCTAGTTAGCTGTAGATAATATTATTATTTAGTATAATACTCGACTTAGTGATAGTAAAGATAGACTAGATGATGATTACGATAGAATCGATAGATTAGGAAAGGAAGGATAGATAATAGGAAAGAAGAATATAAAGTCTAGATATTCAGTTATACATATTTATATAACGATTAAGATTTATAAGGATGATTTATTAATGTTATATATGATGATTTAATAGAAGTATAAAAGTTAATGTATATAAGTTTTCAATTTTATGTATCGAGTGTTGGTTGATATATAATATGTGCTGTATTTGTGTGTGTGTGATAGTAGACATTAGATATTTAAGGGGAGGGAATGGAGTAGAAGAAGTTAACATGAACTACACATAGTGCATATGATTAGCTCACGACGGATACGAGAGAGAAGATAAAGGTGAGGATTGGAGATCTAAGAGAGAGTTGTCTGTAAAAAGATACCAGACTGAGAGGGCCGTATGATGCGAAGGGAGTGATGTGAAAAGAGGACGGAGAGGTAGAGAGACGATGAGACGAGAGAATGAGACGAGAGAGAGAGAGAGAGAGACGATAGTGAGAGAGAGATGATAGGCCGTATAACTAAATGGACAGAGTGACTGGGCAGTGGATAATATCAGTAGTGACATTAAATTGGAATAGGCTAATGAAAACATTTCACAGAAGAACCGAAAACTTAACCATTGTGAGTAATAATGATGGTACTATATCTACACACACACACACACACACCACATGGTTTATATATTTAATATACATATTATTCTATAATAGTTACAAATATGTGTTATACATACATGTTAATATAACATACATACACATCAGCACACAGTACAACACACACACACACACTGTAAATATATATATATATATATATATTATAAATATATATATTATATATATATTATTAATATATTATATCATATATGGTGTGTGTTGTGTGTGTGTGTGTTATATATATTTAATATATACTTACTTATAGATATATACTTTATATATATATATATTATATTATGATATAATACATACACTACAAGCAAAACCATATATATAAACATACATATACATATTCACACAACACACACACACAGTACTTCACACTTACATCCCACACACCACACACACACACACATCATTACACAACACACACACACACACATATTAATATATATTATTTATATATATATCTATATATATTTAATATATATAATATCCACTAATTAATAATTATAATTATATATATATATATATTATATATATAATTAAAACATAAATATGTAACACTAATCAGTATGTGTAGGTATGTAAGCCGAGACAGAGAAAATTAATTATTTCTATATCAGATTATATCGACGAACATCAAGGACCATTATGCAGTCAAGAGCTCCTTACCATCCATCACTTAACCATTTTCTGTACATTCCCCTTGCCACTGCTGCCCAGTACCGCATTCCGCTCCAGAGCACACCTTATTACGGGTCGCCATCACCGCCCGTGTACCAACTCCCTCAGTAATACTTAACAGCGTAAACGAATTAGCGCCCGAAGCCACAATAGGGGAATGTAAGTGGTGCGTTTGACACGAGCTCGTCTCCCCGATCCATTTAAGCTACCTAATCCATTTCAGAGAATCCATTTGCATTTCTGAATCATCCTTAGTGTAAGTGGTGTCCTCTTCGTCCACCGGAGAGACACCGCTGAGGGCCCTTTCGGGAGACGTCTCGGGGACTTTGTTGAGCCTTTGGAAGGCGGCTCCTCGAATGCACCCGAGATCCTCCCTGGGAGCTTGTCCTCGCTGGAAATCAATGCTGCCTAACTACAAGGCTCGGACAGTCTCCCAGGGCCCGCTTTCGACGCCCGTGGCTACGATCCATCACTCAAACGCCGCCTCGCAGACGGCCTTTACACAATTACCATCTAAGGGGCGAGCTTAACACTCTTAGCTTAGACCACCAGACTTTGAATATCATCCGAGTGCGCGCCTCGTGGGTGACTTCGGGGGCTGCACGCCACACCACTCCTGTTTAGCTTTTCGCGTCAGCTAAGATGCCTCTGACGTACCACAGGCACAAATATGATCGAATATTATTATAATATTTATTAATATTATTAATATATATTATTATATATATATAATATTATATTATAATAGTATGTATATATTTTTTAATATAATATTATATATATATATATCATATATGTACTTATGTATGTATGATATGTTTATATATATGGATCTATCAATTTCACGTAGTGTATATATACATATTATTTATTTATATAATATTATATACTATATTTATATATATATATATATGTATATAAATATATGTATATTAGCTTCTATTAATATATTTATATATCAGTATACAGATTCTATATATATATATATATATATAGTTAATGATTATTTGTACACTATAACTATATATGATATATATATATGTATATATAGTATATATATATGCATATATATAATTATATATTAATATACATTATATATTATTATAATTTAATTAATATAGATTATTCATTATTATATTTGTATATATTATACATATCATTTATATATATACATATATATAACTATATATATATACTATATATATATATATACACAATATAATATATAATATTATATATATATATATAGTTAATATATAATATATTATAATACTATATATTTATATATATTTATAAATGTATACATATGCATATTTTTATATGTGGTATATATATATATATTATAGTATAGTATTTATTATATATATGTAATATTATTATAATATATATTAATATATTTATAGTATCTGTATTAGACAAAATACATTTACCTATTAGGTATTATATATATATATATAATATGATATTATAGATTATACATTATAGTATATTTAAATCATTATATTTAAATATATATATATATATGTGCTGTGTAAGATGTCGTTGTGTGAATAACATAGATGACATCAATTATAGATAGATAGTATATAGTTTTGATACACACTACGACACAACCACAAGACATAAAATGTATATTTATATAGCTAATATATATTATATTATATTTTATGAATACTACGTTTGATCTATATAATATTATATTAGTTATGTTTTATGGTGTAACAGAATGTATTATGATAACTGAGATACTACTATTAGTATATAGAGTAATTTGCATGTTGTGTAGCGTGTAGGTGTACAGTAATTTCCTGCTGAGTTATCTTGTGTGTGTGGGTGTGTGTTGTGTTAGGTTGACGGGTTCTTATATTCTATATGTCAAACCTATCCGCTCTCGAAGGATGACTTGACTCACTCACCACTATACTATTACTCTATATTCAGTAAGGAAGTCAAGAATCTTGGTTTTTTACTATACTTAATAACCCTATAGCTCGACTAACTTATATCTTTAACCATTTTACTTTAGTTACCTAAAATATTATACCCATAACAATTTTATGCGCATATGCTATTCGTTTGTTACCGATGTTAGTACCGTGTCACGCCACACCGATCACAACTACAATCAACAACACTAGACTGCTCACACTAACACACCATACACAACATACTATCCATACACACACTCACATAACTATAACTACCAAATCACGCACTATCACTTAAGAATACACACACACACACACACACACACCCTAACTATACACCATAGAAATAATAAAAATACTGCTACAAACTACCCATACCTCAAAAATAATGAAACACCTACAAATCACCATAATTCACTACCTATAGCCATCTCATACATTAACCCCACCTACCACCCCAATCACTAACCCTACCACTCAACCACATCTACTAACCATACAACATCCCATAATAGCTATCACACACATATACATCAACACCATAACATACCCTAACACACACAACATTACAAACACCATACTAATCCATAACCGATCGTAGATCAGTGTCGAGTTAGATGAGTGCTGATGATTGTATAGTATTTAATATTTGATGTGTGTGTAATGTGTGTGTGTAGTGTGTGTGGTGTGTAGTGTGTGTGTGTGTTAGTGTGTGTCTTAATAACTTAATCATATTATATATTTATACATTAATATTAATTAATTATTGATATAATAGGACATATGCATATTGCATATTATATATTTACATATATTATTTTAATTTATGTGTTATATTATATATATATTAAATATACATAAATATACCATATAATAATTATATTATATATATATTTATTA